CATTTCTATTTCACGAGTGAGAAACCGTTTCGTTGGCCAGTTTCACGTGGACAAATAGAGTACAAATATTTCGGAATAGTTTGCTAAATATTTCACAAAGTTGTTTTATTAATTATTTACCTTATGTTTGATAGCATTTGGGAATATTCCCAATCCCAGAATTAACATTTCCACCAATGGCTTTTCCTGTATGCATTATCAATGAACAAACGTGACAATTCCCGGGTTAATACGAAAAAGGGTATCGAAAACCACATAAATATTTCAAAAGCACCCGTCACTTAAGAGACGTTTAAAGAATTTTCCTATATCCCGGCCTCCCCCAAAAGAGAGGGTGGTTTGAGGGGAGGACGGACTGTGAGGTGTTAAATTAGGGAAACAAAATGAAGGTATTGTATTACTGGTAGTGAATACATGTGAACGTGTGAGAAAAACCGATAGTGAGGGTTGTTGTAAACATGGAGCACATCATCCCGAATTCCCGCTACTGTAGAAATTCGTCAACCAGATAGTTTGCGTCACGGCCGCCGTTCGATTGTTAGTCTCGAACGGACACGGAGAACCAAAAGTCCCCTGTCTCCCACTTTTTTGGTCATATCTCTTTTTTATTTCTGGAAAAACCTTGTAATTTCGTCCTCTGTACAGTGATCATCAACGGTTTGTTATACTTATACATTCTTGGGGGCTTTACTGTCCCGCCATATACGGGAGGGGACCATCTCATCTGTGTCATCCGAAGGATTAATTTTGTTAGGAGTCACACACTCATATTGTCGTTGGCAAACTTATATTGGCTACCTAGCTTACTTTGTCCTCTTCATCAGCCAGCATCCTTGGTATCTGTTTTTCAACGAGTTGATTCTCGCTAAGTAGCCAATATAAGGCTTAGTCATCTTGCCAAATAGTGAGCCTGTGTTGATGTATGAAAACTATGTTAGAACTGGTTTATAAATGGTTCTTAATGATTAATAAAGTGTTTACAACTTAATTAATAACCTAATGATAAACCCTTTATGAATCCTTTATAAGGGTAGTCTTATTGTAAAGTGATACCATTTTTTCCATGTATTGATCATTTTCCTTGGCTTTACATTTTTTTTGGATACGGTCAGACTGCTGGCAGTGCATCTAATGCAGATGAGTCCAATGAAAAACGTCCATTAAAAACTTGAGTGCTAGTTCTTTGCACTGTCAGTAGGTGGCCATGAAAGATATCTGAGACTTTATTCTAAGCAGAGAAGCTAATGCTCATAACTGACACAACAATAGACAACATCCTTCATAAGTATAACCCCTTTTGAACAAACCAGTATTCATTATATCTGACACTTCATAAAATGAATCCATCTATTATATGGGAACTATTGGAGCTGACCTCAACCTAATAATGAAAGGAATGTAAAAGATGATGGTAATTATGTTTAATTGTATTGATGGAAAATAAGAGGGTGTTGGTCTAATTGTATGTTTTTTGCACTGAGGTAAATGTCACTGCTCAGAGCTACAAGAAGTCAGACATGTTCCCCTCAGTAATAAAAGCTGGTGGTTTACCTGGACAATGTCTCCCCCCTGAGGCTACAGAGTGTTTACACTGTGAAGAACGTTTCATGACTTGTGAAGAAGCTCAATGCCATTTGGTATGAACAATTCTTGCCAGTTTGACACACTCAAAATTTTTCGGCTGACATGGTCACATTGTCATTACATCAAATTGTCGACAGGTGTGCACATAGTGATTCAAATTGATTTTTTATATTTTTTACACCCGACAGATTACAGTAATGTTTGGCTCCCTTTGAACCAATTTCTATTATTCTATCTGTTTGCATTTTACAATAAATTAAAGTCATAGAAAGCAAAACAATATCCTCATAGTAAAAATTATCATATGACTGTTAAACTTTTGATTGTATTTTAATTGTGCTAACTAATGAACTTAAAACTCAATTTGTGGCCTTATTTCAACTACTGCTTGATGTGATCTCTTTGAGGATGATGTCATCTCGTCATTTTGTATTATCTCTATATAATCTAAGTAAAAGTTGTATTGTTCTTCTAAATGCAGCATATAGTCAATAGGTAAGGAAGTATTAGCAGAGGCAAATTCAGCAGCCATGGGGGCTTCAGTTAAAATAACAAGACACTATAGGCCCCAGAGCACTGCACCCAAAATGTAGAACAGGATATTAGGCTTAAAAAAATCTGCTTCCTTTAATACCTTTTAAAAATACATATGAACAATATTTTATTAAAGGATCTTGATCTGTTTTCCATTTATTTCTTTGTTTATTGCTGAGTTTAGTAACTAAACACAGCAATAAACAATGATAGGTTTCAACAATAAAGATGTAATACAGGATCAAAACAGATACTAAACTTTAGTCTGTCTTCATCCTGTATTACATTTTTATTGTTTACTCCTTTTGATGACATTGTATGTAATGAAACGATACTATTCTTTCGAGAAGAAGAAGAAGGACTATTGGGAAAATTCAATTTGTTTACCTTGTTTTTTTTAAAATTGTTTAAAAAAAAGGATACGCCTATAGGCGTTACTAACTAGATCATTCATATTATGAGAGTACAACTTGTTTTTTCCCTCTGTGGAATGCACATAAATAAAGTATAAAATGTCAAAAATACAAATGTTCAGGTACAATTTCTCAAACTGTATTCAATGAGCTGCATGCGTTAAGCTACGCGCAGTCTACTGAGCGCAACACGACGCTTGTGAAGCTGCTGTCTGCACCGTGCTGTTGCTGGACACGGTCCAACTAAACATAGCGACACTACTTTACACTTCACTTTGCTAGCCAGATGGTCGTACAATGAGAGAGATTCTGCAAGAGCCGAATATCAATTAAGTGTCCGACACAATAATAGCAATACGTAAGTGTCACAAAGCTACTTTATTCTCTTGCTAATGCTTTGCTGGAGTAGGTAGCTTGACGTTAGCAATAGCTAACGTTAGCTAAACAAAACCATTACAATACAATTTCTAGGTTTTGAATTGGCCTTTTCCTGAGTTGGGTCTGTCAGTTTTTAGCAAGTGTTTGTAGGATAGCATCTTCTTAATGTAGTGTAATGTCTATGTTTTGCATGCTGCTAATAATAAGTTGACAGTTTGTTTTACAAGCTAACCAGACACGTTAGCTAGCTTAAACGTTAGCTAACAACAACAATGACCTGTGTAACAACTCAGGACAAATGTAATACCTTTCCAAGCACTGTCTTTATACTTTTTATTCATTTTCTTTGTTGCCATTCTTTTGGTAATAACAGAACGTTTCGGCGGAGGCATAATCATTTTATTGGTCTCTCTGCAGAATAAGGCCGTCGAAATGGTGATCATGTCAGGCACAGCCACTGTGCTGCAGCAGTTTGTCAGTGGGCTGAAGAGTCGAAGTGAAGATACCAGAGCAAAGTCTGCCAAAGATCTGCAGCACTATGTGACCACAGAGCTCAGAGAGGTGAGTCAAGTAAAACATGGATGTAATAGAAACTTGTTTATGAGGATATCACTTCTATATAATGCATGCTGAATGAGTGTTGCTGAAAGCTGTATTAGGAGTTGACATGAAGATTTTTGTTATCGTTGCATTCACCAATTTTGCTATTCTATTTATGTTTTTGTGATACTGGTTTTGTGCCTCCTCAGTTAAGCCAAGATGAAGCCACTACATTCTACGATGAGTTAAACCACCACATATTTGAGCTGGTATCCAGCTCTGATGTGAATGAGAAGAAAGGGGGGATTCTCGCCATCGGTAAGCTATTATCATTGGCATGCCAGATTAATAGAAAATTATATTAATTAATAAATAATTCTGTTTACTTATGGTCTGGTGGGATTATTTTTAAATAAATGTACTGTCCTAGATGTAAGTCACATACAAATGTGTATCTGTGATCAATTTTAACAATCTCACTCAATCATTTGTCCCAGTGAGCCTGATTGGAGTGGAGGGAGGAAATGCCACCAGGATCAGCCGATTTGCCAACTACCTGCGCAACCTGCTCCCCTCCAGCGACCCTGTAGTGATGGAGATGGCCTCTAAAGCCATGGGCCACCTCTCTATGGCAGGGGACACCTTTACTGCGGAGTATGTGGAGTTTGAAGTGAAGAGAGCGCTGGAGTGGCTGGGAGCAGACAGAAATGAAGGCAGACGCCATGCTTCAGTAAGTGACCAGCACACAGCAGGGACTGTGTTGTTTGTTGTTGAAACACCATCACTTCGAGGTGGTGTTTATGTGTGGTGGAGAATGGAGATGAGGGCGAAGGACAGTTTAACTCTAGATTGTCGCCTTTTTGTTTAAAGAGGAACTATCATGCTATATTTGAATAATATATTGTAGGGCTATACCTATATAAGGTATATTTATAAGTTTTATTTTTCAAAATACCAAACAGATCATGCATTTTAGCCATGCCTCATTTTGCCTCACTCCAGCTCTGTCTTTGCATGAGCTGGAGCTCATTCGAAATTCGAACACACAGGGAAATAATGCTGACATATTTAAAGACCAATGAAATAAAATGTAAGGTTGTTATTTGTACTGTAAGTCGTCACAAGCGTCATGTTACTATGCTGTTGCCATGCTGTTGCTATGCTGTTGCCATGCCACGGCAACCTCTCATTCCCCTGATAGGTGGAGAGTTGACCATACAGGCGGAGTGCACCTCTGTGACATCATAGAGGTGCAAATCAAAATCCAAATGTATCAAATCCGTTACAGCCCTGTTTTTAGAGATTTGGGTATGGAGGAAAAGAGAGAGGGTTGTATTTTCTGACACTTGGTGAGTTCCCTGGAACACCGGGGACACATATTCATGTATACTGTAAAAGACGTAAAAAAAAGTGCATTTTGCATGATAGGTCCCCTTTAAGGGCTTACTATCCAAGTTGAAGTTGTGCCAAGCTGTTTGCTTATGTTTTTTGTATTTCCAGCATGTTCCTTGATGCATGTTACACTGAAACAACCGAAACATTGACTTTGATGAAATGTATTATGTCAACAGATTTCACATAACTGTGTTAGTTTTAAGCAATAATATTAGGTTTAACTAAAAACGATTAGGTTCAACTTAATATTATTGATTTCAACTAACCTATTACAGTTATGTGAAATGTGCGGACATCATACATTTAATTAAAGTCCTCCTTAATGCTTACTTTATTATTTCTTTAATGAGCATAATATTGTAGATGCAGGCTGGCCTTTAGAAGTATCAAATAAAGGAACTTTGGTAGGCAGGCTTCATCCATCTCATTCTGATCAGCTTGGAGCCATATGGCAGAAGAACGTCTCACCTGACAGCTGTGCAACCTGACATCCTGTTGTAGAGTCAATTTATTGACTTCAAATCCCCTGAGATGCTCAGAAGGAACTCTGCACTGAGATAACCAGAGAGATGAGACCTTATTGAGTCTGAGTCTGCTGAGGTCGAGATTAATTAAAACAAAATTCACAACGCAACAGGAAATAAAGGATATAATTTTGACTTATTGAAAAAAATGGTTGCACAGCTGCACCGAGCTAAAAGGCTAAATGGAAGGACTCAAGAGACAGTGTGGGAAAAGGAACTAAAACAGAGAACTGACTGCTGACAGAAACAGATGTTTTCCTGTGAATGCAGGGAGAGCACAGAGAAACACAAACATAGCAAACCACATTATGACAATGATGAGGACGATTGTGCACATGGAGCAAACGGTCATAGAGTTACAACAATAAGCCACTTAGTCATATGGTGAATAAACCCCCTCTTTGGTCTTACTGTCAGCTTGCTGTCACTTATAACTCTAAAACACCAGAAACTGAGCCAACAAGTCAACAAGTTGTTTGTCATTATCTTCCAGATATTACCCATATGGTTAGGTGTGGTTAAATGTTCGCGACTAAATTACTAATTAAAGTTAGAGCAAGACAGCGGTGGAATATAACATTTGTTCTCAAGTACTATACTTAAGTATCATTTTGAGGTACTTGAACTTTACCTAGGTATGATCTTTCCATGTTTCTCTATACTTGGCCTCCATTATAATTTACAGGAATGGTTATACATTTATCTGACAGCTGAAGATACCTTAAATATTTAAATTTGTATACATAAGATATATAAAGAGCCTCTACAATTCTGCTATATTTAAAACTTCCCTACCATATACAATGAAAGCTTAAAGGCTCTGTCATCTCAAGCCTTGACTACTGCAACTCCCTCCTTGATTGTCAAACTGTCTTCAACCTCAATACATACACCCCAGTCTGCTCATTTCACTCTGCATTTGCCAATCAACTTGCTACTCCCTTAGTGCAAGTTAGACCCAGATGCCCCTCTACAAAAACCAGCCTGTTTGCTATCCTAGCTCCAAAATGGTGTTACAAACTTCCTGTGGATTTCAGGACAAGAGAGTCTACACATCATTCTGATCAGACTGAAAACCCATCTGTTTCAAACGCACACCGGCCAATAAATCCCCCCAAAAAAAATCTAATTTCTGTATGTAGTATATTCATCAAATGTTAGGCTTATAAAACGAATGGTCCAGAACTTTAATTGATATGGTTTTATGTCTTCATGGTTGAAAGTCAATGTGGATAAAAGTGTTGAAATGTACTGTACAAATGACTTAATAACTTTATACCAAATCACTTTATTTACTTAGCACTGTTCATTCATAGAATGCAGCACAAAGTGTCATTGCAGGGGATTTCCTTTCAGCCATGAACCTTGGGAGCTCAAGCTTGACCCATCAAAGACTTGCTAGGGCTCCATCAAGAAGGTAGTGGATGCTCATGGGTGACATGGGGCCGTGACTTGAAATAAAAACATGTGACACAATATGACGTGCGAGAGTTAACATGCCTGTGATCTTAGATTGAGTGATGCAATTAGGAATAAGATAGGATCATGATAAGTGATATGCGTGCTGATATGCTATTTGACACCAACACCAGTTATATGCATATTTACCAGAGTTTAAGGCTTGGGAGATCTTTGGATTGCCAGCACGGAGCTGATGTCCGGGCGAATGTAGGAGGTGAAGGCAGTGGAGGCCGCCGCCCGAGTTGTTGCCATGAGCTGTTAGCTTGAGTACAGTGATGCATGGATATCATATCCTGGTTTATCAGCAAGCCTGAGACGCAGACCCTTCCTGGGTCAATGCAGGAATGCACTGAGATTTGTCACTAATTGTAAAGCACTTACACATCACTGTACACTGTATACCAAGGCAGGTTTGCCATCACTTACTGTAAAGAGGCTCAGTCATTGGTACACATTTATTTATAAAGCTTTGTTGGGTAAACTCCCGTATGTCTGCTCTCTGATAACACAGAGAGTTGCAAGCAGCTATTGTCTGAGATCGCATGATGTAGCATTGTTAGATGTGCCAAGAGCAAGGACTGTCTTAGGTAAGACAGCTTTTATGTGCGCAACGCCACTTGCTTGGAAGCTAAAATTGAAACTGAGCAATTGTATTCCTCTGAATGGTTTTAAAGCAAGTCTAAGTGAAATGCTGTTTGAAACTATGGGTATTTGTAAATGTTGATAAGTATGTACATGTAGCTTGTAAATATGTTGTATGATATCCTCTATTGTTTTATGTTGTTTTATGTTTCATGTGGAACGTAATTGCTGCAGGTCTCCCTTGAAAAAGAGATCTATGATCTCAATGGGACCAATCTGGATAAATAAGGTTTGAAATGAATGCGCATGTGAGCATGAAACCATGACTATAAAGTGCTAGTGGTAGATCCAAACGTGTATGATTATGAATGTGTAAGGAAATGGTGGAAATCTGAGCGTGCCGCTATGGCGGATGATCTCGTGCAGGGAAGAGGAAATACTGTAAGTGAGTGGGCCCGGGACTGCGACTCGCTTACCCCGCAGAGATTCCCCCCAAAACAAAGAATGTGCAGTTTTTTTTTTTTCCAACGAAAATCACAGTGGGAGAAAGGAGGACCCCTACTATGAAGCCTTGGGAAAGCCTTGAGAGAAGATAATTCTACAAGCACAGGAACCGGGTGAGTAGATAAGACGCTGCTAAGCGTGTGATGTTAATTGAAGTGGAGGGGTGAATGTTCAGAAGATTTTTCCGCCATGTGGTTTCTGAAGCGGGGCAATGATCTTGGGACGGCTGCTGCGCCTGGGGCATACGGACCTCGGGTGAGAATCTTTGCATAAGCTGCAGATGTGAAGAAAAACACAGGCTGGGTAAGTGCAGACATTTTCATTAAAATTATTGCAAATCTGCTTATCTTGCCTGGCTGCCTTGTCTGTCATTTGTAGTTTGGAAAGTGTGGGGGGGGGCTCTGAAAGCGGAGAGAGGCACTGAAGGGCAGAAGTGGGCGAGGTGGCCCTGAGCCCCGCAGCTTTTGCACGAGACGACTTGGTGGCCGCCTGTAGACATGACAAGCAGCTCGGTGTCCAGTATGGACCAGTCCAGGCGGATGTTGGAGTGTGCTATATTGAGCGCTGCTTTACTTTAGAAGCTCTTGTGGTAGGAGTAGAAAAAGGTTTTAGGAAAAGGTCACCGATCAGAGCCAGATAGGCATCTAATTCTTGCCTTCTTTCCGGGTAGACAGAGCATATGACGTTGCGGTAGATGCTGAATTCGACCATGAAATGCCCTATGGAGAGGTCTCTGATGAGACAGGGGTCTGCTGACTTGAATACGGCGGTGTTGCTTCCCCCTGTGGCGATGGATTTGTCACACTCAAGGGAAGGAAGGATGAGGCTGACTAAGTTAATGTCCTTCCCTTTAAGTATTTTTGACCTAAGCGGGGGGGAAATATTAGCCGCTTGGGGGATGCAAGGCCTACCTGAAGAAGGGCTGGAAGGGCCGAAGCCAGGGAATGAGGGGAGGCTACGATGTGACGGAATGTAGGGGCCTGACCCGGCATGACACCCGGCATGACACCCGGCAGCGCCATGGCAGAAAGCGTGGCCCTGTCGGTTGATGAAGTGGAGGCTCCGGCTGATTCCCTTTCCAGAGACTGAAGGCGAGCGTCGATTTTTTGCATGGAGCTAGCCAGGGATTGCATGGTGTTGGCCAAGCTATTATCTACGGGGGGGCTGGCTTGAGGTGCTTCCGGGCTGGTAAGCGTTGGGGCGAGCCTGGGAAGAAGTTTTCTTTTTGGACGGATGAGCTTCTGGAGGGCTCGACTTCCTTGTCCTTGTATCCCCGCGCCCGCACCCGCACCCTGGTCTGTCAGAGGAGCCGGCTGGAGCTGCTGGCGTGAGCTGGGGAACGACACCTGATATTTGATCTGAGAGCTCGCGAAGCTGGGAGAGAGGAAGACCTGGGGCTGGGGAAATGCCCTGCTGGTGCAGTTGTGAAGTGAGGAGATCTGCCTGTGCTGTACGTGTGGCAATTTCTACCGTAGCCTCCGCAATGGAGCACCAGCAGGTTATTTTCCATGCTGCTGTTAATCTAGAGAGCATATCAACAGACTCTAGTGGACAGCACATATGATTATACAATCAGACGAGATGCGTTAAAAAGCATTATAACTAGGGCCGGGACTTTAACGCGTTAATTAAGATTAATTAATTAAACAAAAATTAACACGTTAAAAAAGTTAACGCATTTTAATCGCACTTATTTTTGCACCGCGGAACGTTTCTAACTGGATGAGTTTCAGGGGTACCGATTATACTGGAGCACCAACTAACGTTCATGACTTCAAACAACAACAAACCACAGTGAACAATTGTCAAACATGAACGAAGAAGCTGATGAGACCGCTTTGGTTGGCCCCGTGAATGGGACATTTTGTTTTAAAAAACGGACGGATGGAAGCGTCAATAAGAGCAAGGTTGTTTGCAAATTATGCAAAAAGGAATTCACATATCACCGCAGCACATCAAGCCTCAAGTATCACCTCAATGCAAAACATATAGCAGTATAGCAGCTAGCGTGGAAGCGAGCGTGGACGTTAGCCCGACTCGGAGTAC